CGATGGCTGGAGAAATACACCTCCCGACCCTCATAAGAACCGTCGTTATTACATGGTCGGGTTTTGGAGGCGAACTGCTCAGTGAGACGAGTGAACCTAATATTAAAGAAATACCTCCATTCACCGATATCATCGTGAGAATCCACTACATGTACGCCTTCTCAGCCTTGTGCTTCCGCTCTACTCTACGCTTCTCCAGCTCACTAGGAGTCAACTTATCGGCGGATTTCCCTGAATAGGAGGGCATAGATGTCGTCAAGTGGCCCGACTCGATCAAGAATAGCCCTGATACTAAACACCGAGCAACTGCCGGCTCCTTATTTCATAATCATCACCACTGACAGCAGAGCGATATCACCACATACTCACTTTTCTGAACGTTGCCAGCCTGCTGCCCCATCCGCGCCAACTCTTGTTGCCTCTCCTCCTCTACAGCCCGACGATACTCTCGAGATGAAGATGACGAAGATGTCATATGGACAGGTTACACTGCAAGGTGGTTCACCCTCAAGTTCTCATGTGCGATATTACTAATGTGCTCACTTGCGGAAAAAATACAAAATTCCGCAACTCGGAGGTCTCTTAAGTCCACTGGGCCGCCCAGTGGTGCGGTTGAACAGTTTTGGATTTCTCAAAGGACTATGCAAGAGCAGATGCAGACGGGTCGCCATCCCCATGCATACAACAGAAGGCTTCCGGAAAGAAGGAATGCCTGGGGTACATGGCTAGATGTGAATTACATCTAATACGAGAGCTGTGCTGGTGTTACTTGTTCTATTCGCCCCTGGTGATGCCAATTTGGTCCGAATTAACCCTGGAGGACTTGTCCCAGCCCAAATCCGTGAGGGTCTTCGATTATCTTCTCGAGTTCACAGCTGTCAAGCCGGCGTGCAACATGTTCTGACTTGCATCGACACTGATTGGCTCGCTAGTAGATTCTCTGCCTCCTCACAAACACCATCGACGACCTACGGACCGATGTTACTTATATTAACTTGCCTTCGGAAAACAGATAAGACGATCTGCGCCTTTCGAAAAGAAGCCGTCTGCTAGTCGAGAATACGAACCCAAGATTCATAGATGGATAAAAATTTCCTAAACCAAATCGAGAATCTCCCCTTCGCAACTACCAATTTCTGCTAGACCTACACCCCACTCCTTCCCACTGTGTAACAATAAGTCTTCAACATCGTCAAAGCAAATACCCCAATCTACCCCGCGATCCATACGAACCACGGTTAGACGAAATAGGTTGACTATTAATGAGACATTACTACTGTTTTGACAACTGACTACCTATGCAGCTAAGACATCATTATATCATGGGAAAACTCTAAGAAGCTGGCAAGTCACTACGGTGGACCTCTAGGTAACTACCGGAAATACTTGCAAATGATGCTAAGCAAAATCATCTCATCCATAGTAGGACGAGAGGAGCATCATTACGACGGGACTGGGGGATATGCCCACAACAGAAATTAACCCCCAACAAATTTCACTACGAGATTGGAGCGACATGTGGGGAATAGCTAAAATACAGCAGCCACCAAGTAGACGCAGACCGACAGTAATAAAGACCTCTCGGCTATTCAAGTTACTTCTCAACAGCTGTCGGATGGAAGGTCACTGCCATCAAGGGCAGAGCCAGCAGTGACCATTGACTCCTTCGACCTCCCAGAGAGTCTGTAAGCTTGAGAGTGATAATGCTTGGAGACATCCACACCGGCCACTTCATGATGTTCTTTAACACGGAAGATCTTGAAGAGACGCATGAAGCCGAATATAACGGCACTGCTTGCGCCGACAAAGGCCACAATCACGACAACACCCAAGAGCTGGATACCGAACTGGTAGCCGACCGAGACGTTGGGCGATGCACTGAACACGTCGAAACCTTGTTCGTAATCCCACAGTGGAGCTGCGAGAACGCCCCAAATACCACAGGCCCCATGCACTGCAAAGGCGTCGAGTGGATCGTCAATCTTCAATTTCTGGATGCTCCAAGATGCGAACTGGTAGACTACCGCTCCGATGGTAGCTATAGCAATGGCACTGCCCGGGACAACGTTAGCACAGCCAGCAGTGATTGACACCAAACCAGCCAGCATCCCATTACAGACACCCACCACATCGTACTTCTTGACGAATAGGAAGCGTATGAGGAAGGTGACGAAACCTCCAGCGGCTGCAGCCAGAGCAGTATTGACAGCCGCCAGTGAACCCAACCAGGCGCTCTCACTTGAATGCATGGACAAAGTGGAACCAGCGTTGAAGCCAAACCATCCGAACCACAGAACAAAAGTACCAAGGACAATCAAAGGGACGGAGTGGGGATCGAACTCGCTCTGATCATAGTCCACCTTGAAGCGGCCATGGCGAGGACCAAGAATGAGCGCCCCAGTCAAGGCCCCTACACCTCCGGTAAGATGGACAATACCGCTACCAGCGAAATCGTAGTAAGCCGAATCGAAAGTTGTGGAAAGCCAACCATCACCACTCCAAGTGAACTGAACCACCGCAGGGTAGATAAAAGCGCTCATCATAGCAGAATAAACGAAATAACTGCTCGAACGCACCCTCTCTGCCACACCACCCGAGACGATAGTGGCAGCGGTAGCACAGAAAGCCCATTGGAAGAACCAATCCTTGAAAGCGTACTCACCAGCCGAAGGCGTACTGCTACCATCTTTATATTCGTAGAGAGCGTTACCGAAAAAGCCATGGGCTTTACCAACACCGTAGGCGATGCCGAACCCCAACGCCCACCAGCACAATGTGCCCACCGAGACATCTAGCAGGTTCTTGAGGAGGATGTTTTGGACATTGCCAGCCCTGACGGAGCCAGCTTCCAATGCAGCAAAGCCGAATTGCATGAGCATCACCAAGGCACCACAGATGATAAGCCAGATAGTATCAGTGGCATCAGCGAGGCCGGCAACAGTAGGGTCATCAGCAAGGGCTCGATGTGGAGCAGAGCCGTAGCTCTCAAGGAGTCGTTCTAACTTCGCAGTCTTTGCTTCGAGCTCGAGGATTCGCTGATTCATGGTGATCTCAGTGGATGCATCAGGGAGGACGCTTGCGGCGATGAAGCTCGCTAAAATGACGACCTTCATATACAATACGACCATTGTTGAGGTTAGCAACTACAAGAAGGGCAATGTGCATCAACTTCGCTTCTAATGGCTTCCTTCGTCGTCCCGATATTCGCCGAGTTCACCGAATCGTAGGGCGCGCGAAAGCTTTCATTCGCTACGAAACGCTCCTCAACGCGCTCCAACGACTACTCGAGTGAATTGAATTATCTATCATTGGCGCTCATGTCCACGAATACGATTGTTCCCAGAGGGACTCTTGGAGTATTTGTCGCGAAGTCATTACTAAGTGTCACGGAATTTCGCCGATGTAACCAAAAGAAATTGTGTAACTGCAAGTAAGAAGTGTATTAAGGGTAAAACGTCTTAGATGATTTATTCACAGCGGACATAATAAAGGCACGAGTGTGTATCTCAAGCGTTTACATTATAACGTATAATTCATGTGGGCTGAAAATATTCTCTTTGGGTACTAGAAGTTGAGACGTTGCTCTATGATACTCGAATAATATCACTATTTTTGGTACTACTAGGTTTTTCCAACCATCTAACGCAACAACTGAAATTATGAGTTGTATTCCAACTAGATGCTTTAGCAAATGAAGTAGTACCAGTACAGCCAAGTTCCACCTTATAAATCGCAGGCTGCAATTCTTGAGTTGAATTCTTGCAATTCATGATGCAGTACATACCCATCATATATAATACGATTATCACATTCTGGTATTATTAACAGCGTTTTGTGAATGAGTCAACTAGTCTGGTTGGAGTTTAACCGTTGAGCCAGATTTGTGTGATTCGTCGCGGATTATTCGTGAGAGCTCACACGACCTACCACAAAAGTGAACTTGGACGATATCAGCGCTACTAGGGCGGTTTGTGCCACCGTTAAACTTGTCCAAATCAGTTTCTACTAATTGGCGTACCTAGAATGAAGGCTAAGGAAGGAGTAACACTCGGGGTTCGAACTTGAAGCCTCAGAGTACTCTGCAGCGAAATGTTTCACGTAGAATAAACTGCATGGTTACATCCCCATCGTGGCTAAGTTTACATTGCCAAACAGAGGGAGTCTGTCAGACTGTGTAGCTGAACTCGGTCATGTAGCATCCTATCACTACCCCCCTTTCCTTCAGTGTGATTATTCCAAATGTTGAACGCTCTTTACAAGAGCGTCGTCTCGACAGTTGGCAATGTAGCCGGCCTAGGAGGGTTGCCCAGCTCTATGAAGTTCCATATAACGAAGAAAGTGGTTGATAGTAGTAGGGGTGGCCAGGGAGCGTTTTTGTGTCCAATAGGTCGACTCGCACTCGCCTCTGATCATAGGCGGTCTCGAGGATTTCGCGTCAAAGAAATCAGTATTTAAGTTTCGAGGTTTCGACTG